GGGCAATGTATGTACAAATGCGCTTTACACAATTGATGTGTGTATGGATTGTGATAAGAGTTGTATGAGCCCCTAATAAAATGATTTTTAAAAAAAGAAATAGTTGTGCGAACAGAACAAGGGAAGATTGTATGTAAGGATAATAATAAATTATGGGTAACCTTGAGAAGAATGGGAATGCTCACACACTGCATTGTGCTCATGTGGAACTTGTACATGGATCAACAGGCAGTTATGTGAACAGCACAAAGGAATACTGCTTGGTATAAAATCAGAAAAGGTGTGTGTCTGGGTCGTACCCTCTCACGATACATATTCAATCAGTATGCTCAGCAAGTTATCGGAGAGATAGGGTTATAGGAAGAAGACGATGTCATCAGGATTAGAGGCAGGCTTATGAACAGCCTTCCATATGCAGCTGTGCAACCTGGCTGGCTGGGAGTGAGGGCTTGAAGCACTTGCTGATGAAGATCAAGGATTGCAGCCTTCATTCAATATGTATCTACTTCATGTTGTTTATAATCAGAAGTGCATTGTTAATTTGGTTTTATTTTTTAGTTGTTCTAAAATAGATTTACAGTGTACAACATTTCACAATTCAATGTTTTTTACATATATAATTTAATGATGTCTGTCCCCCAGGGGAGAGGTTATATGTAGATCCTTGTAATCAGTTCCCCCTTTCCAACCCACCCTCCCTCCATCTTCCCAGTATCACCACTCACGCCACTGGTCCTGAAGGGATCATCCGCCCTGGATTCCCTGTGTTTCCAGTTTCTATCTGTCCCAGTGTACATCTTCTGGTCTAGCCAGATTTGTAAGGTAGAATTGGAATCATGATAGTTGGGGGCAGGAAGGAGGAAACATTTAGGAACTAGAGTAAAGTTGTATGTTTCATCATTGCTACATTGCACCCTGACTGGCTCTTCTCCTCCCCACAACCCGTCTGTAAGAGGATGTCCCATTGCCTGCAGATGAGCTTTGGATCTCTGCACTCCCCCTCATTCACAATGATATGATGTTTTGTTCTGATCATGCCTGATA